CAAATTGGCTCTAGTTACAAAAAAATTTGATTGAATGAGCTAAGGCAACAGATCAATTTCAAAAATAGAAAACTCAGAAGAAATTCGTTGTTTGTTTTTGAAAATGTGTCAAGCATACACAATTTAGGAAAAGAATATATAAATTAGCAACCAGCGTGTTCAATTTGCGCAGGTACGTAATTGAATCAATAGATTGACAGATTTCAAAGATACAAAATTGTAATTTTTCGACTGAATTATTCAATTTCGAATATATAGTACTTTCTTGAGCTTGCTTCATTTGTTCTCTGATGTTTTCTATTAAAACTAGTCATAAACTTCAGAAATCCAACGGTCAAGAACAAAATACAATTAAAAATAAAGTTTAATTCAATTTGAAAAATGTAACTCATTCAGAAAGCAATTATGGATTTGATTGTTGGTTAAACATAGTTTTTATTTGAATAAACAATATTTTTATTATGATGGTTTAGAAGCGAATTTTATTGAAGTTTCTTTTTTATTGAATTTTATTGAAGCCATTTTTTTATTGAATTTTTTTAAATTTTAGAGGCGAGTATTGTAATCTTTTTTTGCAATATGATGTTTTTTCGTCATGAAAATTAGTTCAATGCAAAAATCTCGACGATGCTTTTGGTTGCGAAATCGTTCAAAAAATGATTTTTTTTAAGTTTAAGTTTCTTGAATGAATTACTTTTCACCAAAAGTTTTTGCATAGATTCGTGTTGTTTGAACTTGCTTGACCTTAAGAATTCTTATCTCTGTTAGAACATAATTTTCTTGGCTGCGTGAACTTTGCGTACCAGAAACTTGTTTTTTTTTTAAATAATAAACTTAAAACTGTTCTGAAAAGGTGAGAAAACGCAACAGATCAACTTCAACGAAAAATTTGCCACGATTTTTGTTTAATAATCTGTCGGTTGTTCTAAGCTTAGCAAAATTGAGCTTTTTTTAAATTTATTTTTGCAAAGAATCCTTCATAGTTTTATAAAGATAACTATCAAAAATTATCAAGAAAACGCAAAAAAGCATTTTTGGTAATTTCCATATCCATTTTAGTATAAAGCCGAATTTGTCATTTTCTACTCAATTTTTTTTATTTTTTTGATGAGAATAAGGAAAAAATGTTCCAAAATTGCTTCAAAAGTTAAAGAAGTTAGTAAAATTTGGTCTCATCTTGGTTTTCATTTCAAATTGAGGCAAGATTTGTGCAAAAGAACTTGGTTTTGCTTTGTATGGGAATTCAAATTAATGTCAAGTTATCGCACGTTCACTTTTACTTTTCAGTAATCTCATGAAATTCTGCTACTTTTTCAAAAAAAAATTGTTATATCAGGTGTAGGTATTTTGTCGTAACTTTGTTGATTTTAAATTTTTTATGTGGCTTTTTCGAAAAATCCTGATTCGGTTTACTGTTTCAATGAAGTCTTCTCAGAATCATTCGTTTGTTCAAAACTCTTCCTTGGAATCGATAGATCAAGGTGTTAGTTTCAAATAATTTTGTCGGTTTCTGCTAATTTCTTTTCAAATTTTAGGATCAAAACTTTTCAAGGAAAACAAGGCATTTTTGAAAAATTGTGATTCGGTTCAGTGTTTTACTTATTTCTTGTCATTTAATAACTTTTTCTAGATTTGTATGTTCTTGTCGTTAGACTTTCATCGTAACTTTTCCTTTGGTATGCTGTTTCTTATTTTTAACTCTTTCTAATTTTGTTAAAATAATTTTTGATGAAAATTAGCCCTGTCAAAAAATCATGATTCGGGACATGATTGCACTACGTTTACAATTTTCCTATTCTTATTTAGGTCGTGATGATTTTTAATGTTTTTGTTTCAAGATTTTGTTTCGAAAAAACAAGATAAAATTTTCAGTACAAGTTTTCAGTGGTTGTGTATCCAAAAAAAAAACTGTTGAGTTATCCAAAACTTTTTTTGACATAGTTGTCGTCATCTTTTCTTATATTTTTTAGCTTACAATCTTACGCTTTCGCTATTTTGCATGTGATTAAAAGCTTTGCTTCGCCTCTGTGTTCAATATATCGGTCATAATGCTGCTACAAAAACTAACTCAGAGGCGAAGCGGAGCTTCGCACTACTTGCGATACAACACAATCATTAAAAAAAAACATAAGTCGAAAAAACCATAGATTTTGAAAAAAAAATTGAACCAATTTTTTTTGTATGTCTAGACAAAAAAGAACCCGGGTCCAGCTAAAGCTGGAACTATAAAATTGAAATTGCATAAACTTGCTATACTAATGCGGCACGAAAATTAAGATTTCAAAAACTGGACTTTGCCTAAAACAATAGTTGTTCCTCTACTAAAATAAATGAGAGGGGTAGGAAATTTTGAGATTATCCAACTTCTCGAACAGATAAATTTTCTCATGAAAATAATTAAGGAGTCGCCACTTCTGTAGTAGTTTTTATCAGAATCAATTTTTTAATTGATATTTTTTTCTCAGCTTCGATTGTGTAAATTTTAAGGGAAAAGGAAAAACTTCTGAAAAAGGATCTAAAGTTCTAAAAAAACGGTCGGTAGAATTCCCAAAATTCAAAATTTTTTCGTGCAAAGAGCATTTTTTGGCCACTTAAGCAGAAAAGATTCCAAAAATTGGGAGTACTGACACAGTAATTTTCGCGTAATATCAAAAAATTTGCAAAAAGTTGTCATAGTTCCGAAACTTCGACTTGTTTGAAGGCCATAACTTTTTCCTACAGAAAATGTGCATAGCCAGTTATGAAGATACGCTTTCAACAACCTGTTGTTTCGATTAAATCTATAATTTCAGATTTGGCAGGATATTGAGCGAAAAAAGATTTAAAAAAAAACGATCAACTATTTCAAAAATTGACATTTCCGAGAATCATAGCTTTTATGTAAAAAACAGGCCGTAGCCGTTATTGTAAAAAGGATTCATTCCTCCAGACATCTCAGAAGTGGGAGGGTAGTTCTCAAGAATTATCAAAAACTTCAAAAAACAAAATGGCCAAAAAGCAGAAAGTCAAAATTTCGACTTTTTTTGAAGGCTATAAATTTTGGCGTCAGAAAGAATTGAGAGTTACTCGTTTAAGCATATAAATTTCCCACAACCCGTTTTTTGATTTGAACCCAAAATCTCAAGTATAGCAGGTTGAGATTTGAGAATATTCAAACGGTCAAAAAACCGTCAGAAATCAAAAATATGACTAATTCGCGCGCCATAATTTTGTGTGTTCGAAATTTAGGCGTATCTGGTCATGCAAGGAATTTTCGGTACTGTTTTATTCATTGAAACCAAAAACTCAGATTTGAGAGCGGTATTTTTCGAGAAAACAAAAAAAAAAATTTGGATCAAATACTCCACGCAGGGAAATTTCGGTACTGTTTTATTCATTGAAACCAAAAACTCAGATTTGAGAGCGATATTTTTCAAGAAAACAAAAAAAGCCAAAAATTTGGATCAAATACTCCACAGATTTTTGAAGGCTGAAGACGTAGGGGTCAAGTAAAAAGAGATTCTAGGGGAGCAAGAGGTCGTTTGATTGATACTTTTTTTAAAAATCAGTAAAAATCTTGTCAAAAAACTTTTCAAAGAAATTTCAGCAAACCATTAGGTAAACATACAAAACCATTAAGCGTTCGGAGGGGGTGTTTAAGTGGTGTTTCCCTTGAAACGACCAAAAACATCTTCATTAGGCTAAAAAAAATGGGACAAAATCATTTTTTCAAGCGAAACAAAAAAATACAAAGAAGGAAATACGAAGTCAAGCCAAGTAAAAAGACAAAAAGTAGGAATAATTCAAACACTAAAAACAACGTTAAAAATTATGCGCAACAAAAAAAAACGATTCAAGATGGGACAACTCAGCCGACAACAGATAAGCAGACAAATGAATGATTGGCCGACAATTTGATTAGAAACATAATTTTTACCGTTTAAAAAAAGGTTGGTACTGGTCAGATTTGAACCCATAATAAAAAATTGAAGGCCCCCATAAAAAAATTGCAAGCATACCTCGCGCCATGCATGGAAAAAGCGTAGTTGCAACATAAAATTACTTCGGCATTTTTTCGAGGCTTCCATGGTACCATGCATGGTGCGACGTATGATTGCACATTTTGGTCAACCCGGGTAGGCACCATGAGGGGGGGGGGGGGGGTAGTTGAAGATATCAACCCTTCGGCTTGTTGGCCTACCGCCCTCATACACATTTCGGTTTA